AATAAAATAAAATTAAAATAAATAATAAAAAAAATATACAAAGCAAGTGATGCACAATGCAACTGCTCACCACCCGCCGACCGATGCCCAGCCAGTCCCCGAGCAGCAGCCCCCCCGGCCAGCTTTCCCCAGTTTATGTACTGAGCGTGACGTCCCATGGTATGGAATGTCCCTTTGGCCAGTTTGGGTCAGCTGTCCTGGCTGTGCCCCCTCCCAGCTTCTTGTGCACCTCCAGCCTTCTCAGTCGGTAGAGCACGGGAAGCTGAAAAGTCCTTGGCTAGTGTAAGCACTACTTAGCAACAACTAAAACATCGGTGTGTTATCAACATGATTCTCCTCCTAAATCCAAAACACAGCACTGTACCGGCTACTGGGAAGAAAATTAACTCTATCCCAGCCGAAACCAGGACACACTAACAGAATGATACTGTTGGTAGGCAATCTACTGGTACTGCAAGTGGTTTGTTAGTTCTTCGATGAAATGGTCACTTCAAAAAAAACCCTCAAAGTCTTTTAGTGGTACAGCCAGGTAACTGATGAAACTTCTCAATTAAAAATATAATAGCAAGTAATTTCAAAAAGTTGTCTTCCTCTGAGCTTTATGACAAGCTTTGCTGTGCTACAGATAGTTTCTGTAAGGGTATGTGGAATGTGAGAGTATTTGGTTCCTTAAGTCATCTGGTTAAGGATTATTCAGTATAACAGAAGTAAGAAATAAGAAGGGAAGTGATATATTAAACACACACAGACACACAAAAATTGCCGAATGAGCAGGTGGTAACCAAGACAACAGTGAAGAACAGAACTCTTCAGGCCATTAAAGGAGCTACCGAGGAAGCCACCCTGAAGATGATCAACCTGAGCTTTGTCACTGGCAAGATGGGGAAACATGATTATCATGAGTTTTACAACATATTTGAGAGGGTATATGGGACCGTGCAAAACTTTTTATGGGATATCAGCAGGGGCTTGTGGGATTATGCAAAACTTGCTATGGGATGTTCACAGAACTGGCCAAAGGCAGGGAAAGGAAGGATCAGGGTGGATCTAGGGGGACAAGTAGGAAGATGCGGAGGAGGGGGGCTCACATGTGAGCAGGCAGCGGTCCACTTCACTGTCTGTACTTACGTTATATATGTTCTCTGTGTGTGTGTGTGCATGCATACGCTCGTCCAGGATACATGCGAGCCTAAGACCCCTCCCAGGCCCAAAGAGTGTACATGGGTGGGCTTCAGCAGCCAGGAACAGCAACCCCCCGAGTCCCAGAGACCACTGGATTCAGCAGACTCCGTAAGATCCTTAGGCTTATTTTGAAAAAATCCACTCTACACATTGCTCATGGGAATAGTAAAATAATTGAACTTAAAAGGAAAATGGTGAATATTGTATGTAAAATACTGTCGAAACATCAAAGAAAATGTTGAAAAAATTACACTTCTCTGCACTGCTATAGTATTCTTACAGACATTACTTTTAACATTGAAAATTTTTTAAAAAGAAACTTCAAAAGAATTGCATAGAAGTGAAATACAATTTACAGAATGGTACTGCAAGTAGTTTATCATACAATTAATGCTATCCTCTGCACAGTGAAGGAGGACAAATCTGTGCTTGTTGTTTTGCCTGCTAGCCAGCCTTCTGAACGTATTTTACCATACCAATTGCATTACAACTTATCTGTGATGACACTATTTACCAAATGAACAGTGAAGGAGAATCTCATCACAATGGTATTTAATGCCCTACTCGGCATTATATCTTGCTTTGCATTTAGTTCAAAATGATGACTAGTTCAAGCTCTCATTTACTTGTTTGTCCTTTTTATCTCCATTCTGCAACAGCAATTGCAGATTCCACATTCTAGCTGACAGTTCCACTGTGAGACGTGCTGGCAAAGTGTTCTTAAGAAGGAATAACTGCCTGTCTTTGGGCAGTTAATTTTGAAAAAGAAAAAAATCATCTAATAAGGTTTTACTTTGGAGTCTTGCTGAGTGGTTTTGTCTAATTTTTTTAATAATGAAACTATGAAGTTAGATAGAGGAACCGAGACACCACGCCAGTATGGGAATACGTCAGCCACAGGACTGAAGTTTAATAAAGACCAATGAATTCAGCTTACCACTTAGCTCATAGAATAAGGCACGTATCCTTGTATGTCCATGATACTCATGAGCACGCGTAACTGTGCCCTGAAGACAGCTGGAAAGAAGGATTTAATGACAGAAAAATACTGTCAACAGCACAGTCATATCCCATGGAAAATACTCCCAATCACGTGTTCTTCCCACTTTTCATCCTGTAGCCACTTTACAATATCTTCCCATTTAAACATTTCAATTTCTAGAATAGTAATCAAATGCATTATTATTCAGTTTCTCTTAACACTGACTCACCTGCTTGGAAGCAGATGTTTCCCGTGTCTATTCGGTAGCAAAAAGACCAGTATGACAGGTGGGTATTTGCCTAAATGACCTTAGAGCAGTCTGACTGATTACAGTGAGCTAACTGGCAGGTAGCTGCAAATTTTGCTTGCAGAAAGATGTCTGCCGTTGTACCTGCACAGTGAGACAGATGTCTCCAGTTATCATTTTGATGGTGTTAAGATATCACGTCCCTTTGCCTGCCTAAAATACAGGCATTAAGTTCAGTTTCTTAACTGCCAGATGTCTGGCGTGCTCTGGCTTTCCGATGAACAGGGAGGAGTTTGCGCAATCTAGTTTTCTGAATGACAGCTATTTCCCCAGACTACAGTGAAATTAAATTTTCTATTTGTCGTGGGAAAAAATGTCATTAAAATGTAGAATATATGCTTTTCAACGTTAATTAATTTTGAACTTTGTGCATATAGAGCTTAAGTTGATGTACCTAATACAGGCAAACAGTAAAAGCAGGCAATGCATGAGCCTTAAGGGAAGCGTGCCGACGGACGCCTAACGACGCCGAGGATGGAGTCTCTGGGACAGTAACTGCGGTTTAATCATCGTGCCCAGTTAGGAAAAAGCGCTATCGTGGTATTTCTGACCCCGGCAATTGGCAGGAGCCGGCACAGCGCCACGGAAC